TCTTGTATTATGGGGTACTTATTGACAGTTTAGGCTAAGTAGGTTCTTAATTAGGTTCTTAATTTCTACAGAGTAGACATTGTTGTTGATTATCAGAAAGTAGTCTAAAATCTGGTCTGTTCTTCATTATAAATATTTATTAATGTACCCATGTTGCCAAAAGTTCAATAACATTAATTGATCAATGATACAGTACTGTATATAAAATGTATCTTTCCATCAAGAACTGTAGCAATAATTGTTTCATAATAACAGTTCAAATTTAACATGCATTGTGCATTTTGAGTCTCATTTAACAATTCAATTTTCTAAACTCTCGATCACCTTTTTGGTTTTTGGTAAAAAATATATAAATTAAATAGTTAAACCCCACATATAAGAACCTGTTGGAATTTGTTTGGCTAAACAGGTTCTTATATTTTGGGGTATTAAAAAAGCAAATTTCTGCCTTAAGGTTCTTAAATCCCTAGGTTCTTACACGCGGGTTTTTACTGTAATACTAAAACCAAATTCAAACGTCAAAAAGGTGGTGAAGCTCCTGCATGGACTGGTCAATGGAAGAAACCAATTGATTGGATAGAAAAAGGTACATTAGCTGTTGTTAAAGAACCAGGAGCAAAATAATCATTTGGCGATTTTTGGAGTGGTAAAACATTTGAGTGAGCTGGACAAAATATCAAGAGACAGTTGACAAAATCAAAACTGCCTTATAAGCAGATGACAAAGAAAAAAAATACCTGGTTGTGAATCTTATATTTACAACCCAAATGGAAAAAAGAAATGGTTCAATTTTGGTTGTCCATGAAGTATGACACCAGAAGAAAGTTACAATTGTTGATGATATAATATATATATATGAAATCCTATTGTGTAAAACAGAAAAAGGTCACAGAATGTGTTCCAGGAAGTGAGCAATATGTGAAGGCTAAAAATGGAAGAAACATGATGAAATGTCAATGTGCTAAATGCGGTATTACCAAAACTAAGTTTGTGAAGTCCTTACAAATTGGAAGTAGTATATTTCAACCAAGGAATGTAGGCTATGAACTTGCAAATTAAGCTAACTGAATAAGCTGAAAAAAGAACAAGAGGAAAAGGACTTTCAAATTTTCCAAATTTGTTTTACTCATTTCTTTTTCTGTTAACCATTTAAAATTACCTGCAGGTAGATATTGTGACATTGCAAATCCATAGAGATTATTAGCATCAAGATATGTAACATATTTTGAAGGTTTCATTTGATCATAATCTTTCATGTACTTATTGTTAGCTTCACCAAATCTATGAGCAATATAACTTGTTCCTCCTCTTATACCCTTCTCAATAAATTGAAACATATCAATATCATTCATTAATTTCAATTTAATGCCAGTCATTTTCAACATAGCATCCCATGATAAGCCGGGAGATGTAAAATAATGAGCAGGATCAAGTTTGTAATATTCAAAACACGTTTTTCTGAAATTTTCAAAAACATCAGATAGTAACAGAATATCAGACAATAAATATAGGTCATGATATTCTCCCATATTCTTGAGATTAAATCCTCTCCACACTTTTTTTGCATGCTTGTAATCATCATCAGATATATGTTCATCATTCAGAATACTATAAAATTGGTCTTTTGAAGGTAATTTTGTTTCATTGAATTTTTCAAATGAATCCATGTGATCATAAGGATAAATACCTTTCTTTGACATCAGATCCAATGCTTTTCCTTTGAAGACTTCAGATGTATATTTGAGTGATTCTTTCGGTAAATTAGTCACTAGTTTGTCCAAACTGGAACTCATAAATTGGAAACTGTCAATAAATACCAGATTATGACCTAACATACAGGTAAATGCCATATATTTTTCCATATTTGGAATTGCATTTATCAACAATTCTTTTTCTTCTCCGTTCTTATCAATGTATTTATGATTTTTAGCTAATTCACCTATTTGTTGCATTACGAAATGACTGTCATAACCTCTTAAATCATGAAATATAACTGGTATTTTATCAGTAAATTTAAAATTAAGATTGCAGCTATCATGAACAGAACCTCTGTATTTACCTGTTACATGACAATGATCTCTTACTCTTATCTGTTTTATTATATTTTTACCACAAATATGACATTCTTTTGATTGTTTGAAATTTGTTTCATCTTCATCTGTCATCTTAAGAGGTTGATTGAATTTGTATTTCATAATTATGTTTCTGCAATATTTAACTTCATCAAGCATTTTC